TCAGAGGCTTCTTCAAAGGCCAGATGATTCTAGACTGTGTCACATTGACCACCAACCACCACACGTGTGTGACCATTTGATCCGTGCTCGACAGCCATAATCTTATCAGGCTGTCTTGCACGTCTGGCTAGTGTATTGAGGTTTATGTATGGGGTGAGACAGGAGCCTGGTGGGTGCTTGGTAGAGTGGAAGAACCAAGTGACCCCCCCCCAGTCCCAGGTTCTGGTCACATGAAGTTAATGAGGTTTCAACCTGGGTTCACACAAATGGCCACCCACATGGAAAGACAGCTGTGTGCAAGCTCTGCTTGCTGTTCCCTGGCTTTCTCCCACTTTGCTCAACTACCTGAAAGTGTCTGTTTTCTTGGCCATCAAACATTGTTTTTCTGAGTTTTTTGCCCACAATTCTATGACCACCTGCGCTGCACCGAGTCAGTCCTGAAGTCCACTCTTCCCCGAGCTACTTTTGAAGTCCTGCACCAGGCAGGACTTCCAGCTTCAGAAAGACATTTACACACCCACGAGTGTGTTTACAGCTAAATCACACGCCACTTAAGCTGACCTCGGCCACATGGCTAGGGCACTCTCAAAATTACATAGGCTGGAGAGAAGGGTTAATTAACTTACCTTATCCTCAGCAAAAGAAAATTAAAATGTCCTTTACACTCGTGTGAGTGCGCACAGGACAGAGAAGACGGTCGCAGGTGCATCTGTCTTGGTTGTGGAGACAGTCTCTCTTTGGTCTGGAGCTCACCAGGTCAGCGTACACCGTCTGCACAGTGAGCTCAGGGATCTTCCAACGCCTAACTCTAGCACTGGGCTGCAATCCACGCCCAGCTGTCCTTACACAGGACAGTGGAACTGAGCAGTGGCTGCTGGCCTCAGGGACCTGCTGATAAACACCACCCTTGGTGCCCACATCAATGGGTAAATGCTGTCCTGGGCAACTATCCCGTCTTTTCATGTGAGTGACAGGGGATTGGTTAATGAATTCAACAGTGTTTGCTAAACCACTATGCCAAGGTGAGCCGTGGCGGCCAGGACAGCCAAAGGGGACTGAGATGGGGTCTCGTGCATCCCTATCTGGCCTTGAAGTCCTGATCCTCCTGCCCTCACCCCCCACCGTGCCTGGTTCAGGGTAATTGAGAGCAGGGCTTTTAGCTTGCCAGGCATGTCCCACTTGTCATAGCCTCAGCCCGGGGCTGCCACATTCTGACACATTTCTTAAGAGAACTATCTGAATTAGGCTTCTAGGCCTTGATTTTCTAGATTTAATTTCCATGAAAAAGTTTACAAAGGATAGGACAGCAGGAAGGATGGAATGACGTCTGTCTGTCCCTTCCTTCTTGCTGTCTTGGTGGAGTCCCCAGGCCTCCCAGCTTGGACCCGTGGTATTGTCTCTCTCCCTGGGAGCATGATGCACAGTGCAAATCTGTTCTCGCTGTGTCCAGCCTGCTGCACCTGCTCAAGGCTCCACAGCTGGACTTTGCTCCCTGGAGAGAAGCCCCCCCCCCCTTGGGAAACTGTCACACCCACTGGAGGCAGGAGTGTCCCGAAGCAGTTTGTGTAGAATCCTCTCTGCTGAACACCTTGGCCCTCTGACAGGAGCCCTTCCCTGTGATCAGCAACTAGCTCTTAGTTCATTCTGCTCCACTTTCAGCCTCTGGGAAGCATCTAATCTAGAGCTATCCAACAGGACTTTCTGCAAAGATGCTCTGTAAATAAAGCTCGAACAATGTGACCATGTAAGCATTGAATGTGACTTTGTAACCATTTTATTGTCCCAGTGTGTGTGACTGTGCTGTTCCCCCTTTCAGAAGAGGAAACCTAAACCATGTAAATAACATCAACTCATTCTTATTCTCCCTCATAATTTGATTCTCTCAAAGGGAGATTTTAAAGGCCCCGCATGATTTAAATTGCCTTTCAGAAGTATGCAGATAAACAGGAATGTCAAGACGTCAGAGTGACCTTTGTCAGGCTCCTGCGGGTCACCTGTCAGGTTCTGTGTTTTGCAGTCCTTCCTACCTTTGTTCTGGGGACCTGTAGCTCTGCAATTCCAAATATGGGATGAACTGGGCCCATCGCAGAGTCCACCCTCAGGGGGATCACGGCTGCCGGACAGACGCCTCTGAGACTTCACGGAAGACCTGAGGCTGGGGCACACCAGAGACTGCTTTCAGCCACCCTCAGTGAGGGAGTGAGGCAGACAGAAGAGAGAGGACACCTCTGGACCTCCTCCTCAGCCCTATCAGGACACACAGAATGAGCTCTGAAAAGCTAGAAGGGATTAAAGAAAATAGGTCAATTAAGAGAATCAAATGTGAGTGCCCCACTCAGGACGTTCAAGTAGCTGAGATACAAATGCGAGTGTTTTTCTCAGCCAGGGCTGCGCTCTGGGCTCTGCCTTCCCCAGTCTCTAATTTGTCTACTCTCGAATCTACTGCCATCTCTTCCACGCCATTGCTGCGTGGACTGGTGGTTCCAAGGAGATGTGTCAAGAGGACAAGAGAAGGTCATGGCTTTCTTGTCCCTTCAGCGGCCCCCTCTCCTGTCCCCAGCTGGTTTGCACCGGGGCGGTGGGGAGGCCTGGAAGACAGAACCAGCTCAGAGGACTCTCTTGTGGTAGGGTGTTTTCAAAATCTAGTTGGGGTCACTTTGGCAATCTCTGGTGCAAGAGGTGGAGAATAATGCCTCGTTTTAAGCTGTGGCTGGTTTAGGGTTTTGTCTGTTGCGGTTTTTGAGACAGAATCGTGTTGTGTAGACAATACCTGCCCTCGGCCTTGCTCCCTACCCCAGCTTTCCCAGCGTTCAGACTGCCAGTGTGTACGCCTACACTGGCTTTCCCTATTCTCTTCAACATCAACGATTCATTGGGGGTAGGGAGGGAGCGAGAGGGCTGTTAAAATCAAGAAAGTGGGGACTTGGATTTTCTTCATTTTATTTCTTTTAAATTTTTAAATTTATTTTTATTTCATGTGTACAAGTGCTTGCCTGCATGTATGTAAGTGTAACACACACAAGCAGTGTCCTCAGAGACCAGAAGGGCGCATACGTACGATCCTCTGGGACTGCAGTTAACCACATGTGGGCGCTGGGACCCCAAGCCAGGTCCTCTGCAAGAGCAGCCAGCGCCTGCGACCTCAGAGCCACCTCTCCAGCCCCGGTTCCATCTTATTTTACTTCTGTGTTCTTGGAATCAAGAGAGCAGTGCTTGCCACAGAGCGACCAGTGGGAACGCATTTGGAGAGAGCAGCTGACCCAACCAGCACTTAGGAGGTGAGAGTGTCTGGGAGGGACAGAGCCTCCACGTGTGGCCTGCGGTGTAAGTGAACAGGGGTGAGGCGCTGACAGAGCGCCAGGGAGGATGCTGGGCTCAAAGAGGATAGTTCAGAGGAGGATCTTAGAAGATAAACAGGCCTTGCTCCCCAGGCAGGGGGTGAAGAGCCGAGGTGGTTCGCGTTGGGGAGGCATTCCTGGACTCTGCTGCCTGCCGCATACTCACACCAACTTTCCCTCCACAGAGTGGTGCCTGCATACACTGAGCCAGCACTGGCGGGGCACCTCAGGGGGAGACCCGGGGGCTCCCTGCTCCCTGGCCACTCCCTTCCTTTCCACACCTCGTTTCCTCCTGAGCAATTTTCCTGAGAATATTTTCCAGTCAGCGTCCTCTGGGGTATTCTAGGAGCCGTGTCCTGGAGGCCACTGGACCGCAGACCAAGGCAAAGGGGCACAGCTCTGGCAGCAGGGCAGCCATTCTCCAGCTCCCAAACGCTGTGGCCCCTAACACACTTCCTCCTGCGGGGACCCCAACCATGCAGCCATTGTCATTGCTATCATGACTGTGATTTTGCTACTGCTGTGAATCTTAATGTAAATGTCTGTTTTTCCTGTGGTCTCAGGCGATCCCTGTGAAAAGGCCATTTGACCCCCAAAGGGTCACAATACGTAAGTTGAGAACCACAGACCTAAAGACCCTGTTGTCAAGCTGGTAAGACATCACACCCCAAGATTGGTGTTTCCTCCAGGAGCTCGTGTTGGGAGAAGAAAAAGGCTGAGCTCTTGGTGCCAACCTGAAGTGTGTGTGTGTGTGTTTGGGACAGGGTTGTCTCCCACGAAGACATACTCTAACAACACGTTAGAATGTTGTGGGGAAGTGGATTAGGATAATGGTGAACAGGATCCCACGTTGGCCAGGAATGCTCACCCGTGCCTGCCCCTTGCCTTCTGTTTAAACCTAACTTCCTGTCAGGGTTCTGAGGATGCACTTGTGGGCACAGAGAATAAACGCCCCTTCTCTGCCTTGCACTATTGCTTGTCTGAGTTATTACTGAGGCCGGATGACTGAGCTGGGATGGTCAGTTCTCACTGACAACGTGATCCAAGGAGGTCACCAAGGAGGAAGAGCTCTGCTGAGGAGCTGAGGAGCTCAGGCTGGCCTGTGGCTACGTCTGTAGATTGGTGATTGATGTGGGGTGCCCAGCCCACCGTGGGTGGCACCAACCCTATGCGGGGTCTGAGGGAATAAGAAATAGTGACTGAGCCAGTCCGAAGCGTTCCTCTGTAGTTCCTGCTTCAAGCTGCCGCCTTGAGCTCCTGCCCTGCCCTCCCTCAATGGGGAACTGTGACCTGGAAGGATAAGCCAATGAAGCCTTTTCCTCTTGCTTTTGCTCAGAGTGTCTCACCACAGCACTTTTAGCCTTCTCCACCCAGGTGCAGGACTTTGTCAGCACCTCAGTTTTTCAGCAGCCCCTTTACCACCCTTTCATTCCACAATTCTCCTTTTCCCTCAGTCACCAGAAGAGAAAGAATGCTCCTTTTATGGGAGCCAAGTTGTGTGGAGTTCACTTTGGAAAATACCACCAGAGACCAATTCCAAAGGACAGAATGTGTCACAAAAAAAATGTTCCCTAGCCAGCACATCACGATCTACTGGCTGTGGGTGGACAGAGCAGTGGCTGGTCCAGGCAGAGAGGAGGAAGAAGGACTCAGGAAACAGACTTATGATTATTGTTCCTTTATGCTGTGCACATCCAAGATCACTGTCATTTCAGGGAAGTCTCCTTGACTGAGTGGTCAATTGTTTCAGAGATAGCTAACCTCCACCCAAAGCAGGAGCAATCAATTCCAGAATGGCCTCCGAGCTGGGGTGACAGTAGGCAGGGGTGACAGGAGAAACAAAGCCACCCTCCCAGGGCTGAAAATCTTCCCCAGAGAAGGGTGGTGAGACCTGGGCTGCAGTCTTAAAGGCCCCTGTGTGCCTTCCTTAGATAGGTGACCGCAGGACCTGTTGTGTCACCAGGAGGCTGGGAGGAAATTGAGCTGCCAAGCTGCATGAAGCTGGAGCTGGAGATTTACAGGAAGATGTGTGTTACCAGGTAACAAGAGGAGGGTGAAATCAAACCATTAAAGAACAATTTTCAGACCAGTCAGCTTCTCTCACCTTCTTTTCTCTGTGAGAAGGCCCCTCCCCCAGGACTGGGGCCGGTCCCTTTGATCTTGCTCAGGTTGGTGCTGGCTCTCTGACCGCTTTGTGTGGACGGATGGATGGTCAGCGCAGCACCGGCAAATGAGAAACGTCGTCTCTGCAAGAAGGCTAACACAGGAAAGCTTCTCCCCCTTGCTTTTCCTGAAGAAGTTATTCCATTCACCCCAAACTCTCTGTCCTCTCTGCCTACCCCTCACCCACCACCACAGGACAGAGCAGGACGAACATGGCTAGTTATGGTCCACAGACAGGTGCCTTTAAATCTGACACTGACCACAGTGGTGGTGACAGGACTTGCCTACATTGTCTTAAATTTCTTCTGTCGTGAGGGCTCAGCTCTCTGTTCTTTAGTTTAAAATTTAGCTTTCACTATCTGTGTGATAGAGAGAAACAGTCTTAAAGTGAACATGAAATAGAACACCATATAAAGGGCAGGTCAGCGGCATCCCTCACTCCATCCTCCCCAGGAGCCCAGTGGGGCAGACACGAATCCTCTGGTCCTGTCTTCTCTGCACACAGGGCGCCTCTTACCTCAGCATGCTTCTCCAGGGAACTGGTGGGTCGCTGAGCCACAGAGGCGCATTTTCACAGCCCCCGGACAACTCTCCATTGCCCCCAGGTGGTCCCGTAGACTCCATACAGCGTGCTCATGTCCATCCTCCTTGTCGATGTGCGATGCTGCTGGCTTCGGTTTTTCTTAATTGCTTTCTGCTTCCTTCTATTGGGTTGCTATGAAGAAATAACTCAAGCTAGGTGGCTTATAAACCACAAAAGTGTGTTTTACCAGAGGCTGGTGAAAATGGCAGCAGATCCTGCCCCTGGGGACAGCCTGGGTCATAAGTCGTTCTATTGAGCAGTGTCCTTGCTGATGGTAAGGGACCAGATGAATTTATTAGGCCTAAATTAATTAATCAATTGTGTGTATATGTTCACGAATGTATGCACACCATTTGTTCACACATGTGAAGTTCAGAGGTTAACACTGATACCTTTCTTAATCACTTTCCAGGTTATTTTGGGGGCAGAGTTGCTCAGTGAATCTGGATCTCAAAGATTTGGCTAAACCATGTGGCCAGTGAGCCCCAGGGATCCCCTCTTTCTGCCTCCCCATTGCTGGGTGTGTGGATTCAAACCCACTGAGCTGTCTCAAAAGCTCAGATTTCTGAGTGTGTGTGTGTGTGTGTGTGCACTCTTGTAGAGACCAGAGGTCTTATCAAGTGTCTCTCCCTGAGTCTTTTTTATAATGCCATGTTGCTAAAGTTCATTTCCAGGGAATGTCATGTAAACAATATCCGTCCCCTCTCTCGAGGCCCCAGTGACAAACCAAGCACAACGCCACCAAAGTCCACTCTGGAGAACCTGCAAGTTTACTGGGCTTCACTACAGAGCAGAGGTGAGGGGTCACTTGTAGGGTTCGCTTCTCCCAGAGGACCACATATGACAAGCATTTACCTGCCAGGGATGGTGGCTTCCCCATCGCTTCGTAGAAGGAGCCTCCCTTCCTGCTCCTCTCAGACCTGTGTAATGCAGTCCTTCCCTGAAGCCACACGCAAGTAAGGCAGTGTCGCACACACAGTGGGAAGGGGCAGCCGATTCTCAGGGGAGGGTCTTGTGACCCTCTCCGTTCCTGCCTGAGGGGAGGAAATGGTCAATAGCCTGGCTTGGGGCACAGGTGACCTTCCCAAGAGGCAGTCTCCTCCTTGGAGAACAGTCACGTACAAGGCACTGAGCTGTTCCTCAGGGCCCCGACCTCTGACTTGCCCCCTTGCCTCGGCCCTGTCTGTTAGTGCCACCACCTTGAAAATAAGCCACACAGCATGTGGCTTTTGGTGGGACCAAATGCTCAGATCACAACAGCTTTTTCTTCTAGTCATAAGCCTGGTTGGTTATTGCTCTCGACATACTGTTTAATTTTGCTTCTGGTTTTTTCATTAACTTGTCCTCCATTTGGCTCTCACTTGGTCACCCAAGTTTCCCAGTCTGAGAATTGCCTGCTCTCCACCTGTCCTGGATTCTAGGCGGAAAGAGTGCTTCCCCCTGGCTGTGTGACCAACGGTCGGGTACTAGCACGGTCCTCAGTTTCCCCATATGCACTGTGAAGGAACTGGATTAGAGAAACTCCAGACTCCCGGTTCTACAGCTTTGGCCATTTCATTTGAAAAGACACTCCTTGGTCCCTGGCACTCACCAGTGTCCTGGTTGAGTTGAATTGTCTTACTGTGAATGCCTGGACACATGAGTCATGAGAAGAGGCCAAGGGTGGGGCTGGCCTTTCATTGCTCCCGTAAATCCTGCCACCATTCCCTTCTGTGTTTTCAAGGGCAAGGGCAGGTGATGAAGGGACGGGCGTTTTTGTTCTACGCAAGCTCCCGGGCAGCTGGCGGCCGTTCCTGCAGAAAGTCACAGCCCCTTCGATCTCTGCAGACACTTCCTTCTGACATCATTCTTCCTCACTCACGTAGCGACTGCCCACGAACACCCAAAGTGTGTCCTACTGTGGAACCGTTTTCGGAAGGGGCTGGGTGACAGGTGGAGGGAAGGTGCTTCCATGGCCTGCCAGCTCTGACGGTTTGGCTTCTTGTGCCCGGAGAGGCCAGCCTGCGGAGCTGGAAACGTTCCGGAAGAACCCATGCCGCCCAGCACAGGCAGGCTGCACGCGCCACGGGGCACGTCGACGGGAGGCGTGGCTTGCGGTCCCACGGGACAGTAGGGAACGGAGTCCTCTCGGCAGCAGCCTCCCAGGACTCAGCCCTCACCGCTCCCTGTTCCAATGCCCCTCCTCTCTCGCTCTGCCGAGAAGCGTCCTCACTGGCTGTGGCGCTGCAGAAGGCTGCCTGGATGAGGTCCGGGAAGGATGCAGCCGGGAGGAGGCGGGGCCAGGGCCTGGGTGGGAGGAGCCACCGAGGGGGCTGCGAGCACCTCCAGTGACTCAGGCGCTCGTCCCCGCAGTGGAACTTGTAGACACCTCGGATTGTTCAGCTCCCAGTCCGGAGCTTTCCGAGGGTGGGGTCGCCCGCCCACCAGAGCAGGTGTGCGGCTTTGTGGGTGCTCGGCAACTCTCCGTGGGTGGATTCCTCCAGGCTTGCAAGGTCCCCGCTCGGCCTCTCCAGGGAACAAAACACCTAGGGAAAACAGATGCGTGCGTCTTGGCTCTGCCTGGGGTTCTGGCAAGTGCTGCCGAATCTGCACGGTGCCTCAGTTTCCCCGTTTACGCAGTGGGACCTTACGGTTCCGGAACCTGACGAAAGAATGGGCATAGGCCATGGATAAGCCTTTTGCCACGCAGGGGTGAGTCCAGGTTGCTCAGCTGGGCGCCACACCCTCCCTGGCTCCGCACAGCAGGAACTCCGCAATCTGCTTCCTGTGGCTTCAGCCTTTGCTCTCCTGACCTCACATAACAAGCATCACAGAGGCAGTCCAAGCAAGCAGGGACCTGAACAGCACAGCGAGGAACCCAGAACAATGGACGACTTTTATTTTTATTTCTTTATAAAAAAAAAAAATCAGATGTTTCCTTTGGTCGGAAGACACATTGCAACAGCAATAACTTTTTAAAAGTTCGTAAATAGGAGAAACGTAAAATAAATTCTGTAAGATTCTGGTGAATTTGAATAATCAATTTTATTTTATTCAAGGAACATGGTGATTCCGTGCCAAGTCTGCTCAGCTGTGGTTGCTGAGCAGTAAGTGGCTTGTAAGAAGTGTGGCCTGGCCTCTGAGGGTCCCCGGTTAGAAGAGAAGAAGGAAGAATGAGTAGGGAGTGTGGTTTGGGAGGATGAGGCCTGAGGGTCTTCAAGAACAGCCTGGGCTGCCTAGCAAGACCCCCTCTAAAAAACGGACAGACAGACTGGTGTGTAGCTCAGTTGGTAGAGTGTTCGCCAAGCAGGCCTGACCCCCTGGCCTCATGCCCAGCACCTCATGAACCAGACACGGTGGCACAAGCCTGGGACCCTAACACTCCGGAGACAGGCAGAAGAATCAGGAGGTTAAAGACATCCTTGGCTCCCGGTCGACTTTTAGGCCAGCCTGGGCTATGTGAGAGCCTTTTTTAAAAAGAACAAAACAAAGCCAAAAGCCCGAAAGAGCAAACTAAAGCAACACCCCCCCCCCCCCCCGCAAGCTCTAGGATGTCTGTCTAGACTTACCTGACTTCATCTTTTTCACTGCTGTGCCCCCAGGGAAGGACAGAGCCTGGGAGGATGGACAGCTTCACCACGGAAGAGGCAGAGGAGAGGAGGGATGGAGAAGCGGTTTGTCAGCCTCAAGATCTGACATCAACAAACTAACCTCAAACCAACCAAGGAGACTTGGAAATTAGAGAACACTCCAAGAGAGACAATGGTTACCTAAGGTCCTGCCGAGACTGGAACTTTGGGTGCTGTCTCGATAACTTCTGTGCCGTGACAAAGCACCCCAACAAACCGACTGAAGGGTTTATTAGGTGTGCTGTTTGAGGGTCCGGTCCATTGTGGCAGGAGCATGAGGTGGCTGCTCATGCTGCAGCCAGAGTTGGGAAGCAGAGAGAGATGAATGTTCTCTCTCTCTCTCTCTCTGTCTCTCTCCAGTCTGTCAGTTAGGGAGTGTCTCCCACCTCAGTTAACAAGATGGTTAGGGCATGTCTCCCATTGTAGCTGAGCAGATCCAGACACTTCCTCCAGGACTTGCCGGAAGCTGACCTGGTCTAGATAACCTGTGGCAGGCGTGCCTGGCCTGCTAGGTGATTCTGGACCCTATCAGTTGACACCATCAGCGACACTATCAGCAGTGTGGTTGTTCTCCGGTCACCTACACTTTTCTCGTTTGGAGATGTAAGCCAGACTAGGTTGACACCCAGCACTCACTCACTCCTCTGCTCCTCTAGCACCTGTGTGTGTGTGAACATGCCAGTCCCCACAAACACACACTCAGAAAAGGGATTTCTTTGTCTTTGCCATCTTAGTTCTCCTCCCTCCTGGGGCTGTGGGTGGGTGTAGTAGTCATGCCTGGCTTCTAATGTGGGTACCGGGGTCCACTTGATGTCCTCATGCTTACATCATCTCTGCCTTCACCCCGGCTCCCACAGCTTGTCAAGAAACCTGGGGAGCTCTGCTTGTGCCCACACTGGGCGCCACCTTGTCCTTTGGCGGCTCCTGACCAGTGCCTGTGATGACTTTAGGACACCAGGGGCACACTTGGCCAGAGCAGACACCTTCCCTTGGCACAGCTAGCACGGGGACCCAGGGACTGGGCTGTGTACAGACGTATGCTAGCCTTGGTCTCAGCTTCAAAGACCTCACCCGTGAGGCGGGCACAGCCATCCTCCTTGAGATACAGGGCAGATGTGACAGTCTAGGAGTGCAGGCACGGCTGCAGGTTTCCTGGTGTGTGCGTGTCCGCATGTGCGTGGGGGGGGGCTGTGAGGAAACGGTGGGTGCCAAAGGGTCAGAGGTCCAACAGACCCCCAAAGGCGGCTGGAGTCAGGGCCCTGAGCTGCTGCCCAGCTCAGTGAGGAGACAGCTCACAAGTGTGTTTTACAGGTCAGTGTGGCAAAGGTGAAACTACACACACAGAGAACCCACACTGAGGAAAGCGTGAGTGAACACTGGTGCACAGCCTTCGTCTCCATCCCTGGAGCCTCACTTGTGCTGGAGCGTGGAACTTTCTGACTTCAGACAGTGACTGCGAAGTACACGCTGTGCACACGTGATCCACATGGGGAGGGTCCCGTCCCTGCTGAAATGCTCTCCTTCGTCTGCAGTGACGAGTACAAATGCTCCTACTGAGGGGGGTAAGAAGCCTGAGAGCTGTGCTCACACGCCAGGGTTCCTGCCCGTGGATGTAGGTACAGAGAGGCATTTCCAGCTGAGAGCCCGGTGCAGAGGGACGGTGGGCCCGGAACCCTGAGGAGGACGCGCTTTGACAGCGTGCACTAAGAATCGTAACTTACACACAGCCTTCCACTCGCTTTGCGAGGAGGACTTACCCCGAAGATAGCGGTGGTGATAGCCACGGTCCAGCTCAGCACAGCACCGTTTCTGCTTGCAGAGCAAAACGGAAACAATCCAAGTGTGTGCTATGAGGCAGCCGGTTACACAGACGTCACACACGCGTGGAATGCAAGGAGCGACATCTCTAACAACAGGTTTGCGGGACGATGAGGCGGCCCCGCCGGTGAAGGCGCCTGTTGCCAGGCCTTACGATGGTCTGTGGGATCCGAGTGGCAGAGAGAGAGAACTGATACCCACAGTCCTCTGGCATGTGCACGGCAGCGTGTGTGTGCACGCACACTCACGTGCACACAAGTAAAAGCAGTGTTTGCATGTATTATATGTAAATAGTTGTATGTACAATGTATGGAAAATTGAATTGTTACTGAGAGATTCACTTGAACTGAAGGGCCCCAGAACCTCTGTCCTGCACCCTGGGTTAGCCCTCAAAGTTAGCCTTCCATGGGGTTTTAACTTGTGTATCACTTGTGCAGATTTTTCTCATTGTGACTATAAAAGGCAAAACTTAGGCATCAGCCGTTTCCAGGAATTATGATCTGCAAAAGCTAGAGCTAGAGTTTCTGCCCTCCTGCTTGCGCCTTCGTCTCTCTCCCTTCCCCTCCTCCTCTCTCCCTTCCCCTCCTCTCTGTGGAGGTCACACTCACTCTTGGAAGTTTCCACTTGTAGCTGCGGACAGAGTTTCAGAGCAGCACTGTCCCTGCTGCCGGCCATTTTGGTTTCTGTGTATTTGGGTTCTCAACAGCGTGGCCGTGAAGCCCTGTGATCTGCGGAGGATGCACCCATTGGTGCAGAACGGTTCTTGATTCTGACTTCTCTGTCGTGAACACACAACATTCAGATGGTTAAAAACGCTGGCTGAACATTCTGAAAGATTCAGCCAGCCCACTGCTCAAGGCCGGAGCCCCTTACCCGGCTTGCTTCCCCCGCAGGATGGGCAGGCCATTCATCCTCATGACCACAAAGATAAACTCCACATCTTTTTGGACTGCACATAGTTTGTTTGTAGTCGTTGTCCTTAGGAGCATCTGCCTGCCCGGGCCTGACAGGGCCTGACAGGTCCTGAGGTAGGTGGATGAGCTGCCAAGGCCGGGAAGGGGTGGCTAGTCCTTGGTGGCTCCGGGTGGCTCTGTTCACAGGCAATCTGGGGACCTGAGGGCTTGTTCTTGGCAGTCAGTGTGGCTGGATCCTGGGGAGGCCTTGGTCGCTGCTCTCAGCCACCACAGCCCTGGAGTAGAGGTGGGAACAAAGCATCTTGTGTGGGGCTTGGCCGGCTGGGTGCTCTGCAGGGACGGGGGCTGCTGGTTCCAGATCTGAGAGGTCCCAGGATGGGATGGGACAGATCCCAGATCTCCTTGGCTCAGGACCACTCTCTGGCCTCTAAACCCCTTAGCATTCCCTTCTTTCAGGCTTGAAACATAGATGTCACATTTCCTCGCCATTCAGATATACCTTTCTCTTTGACATGGAAATGCCCTGGAGCAGGGCAGGAGGCCTTGGCGTGAGGGCTCCTGCCCTTGGCTCTTTGGAAGCCTGTTATTAACTAGCTGGTGTCATGTACAGCTTGGGGGAGGCTATCCTAGCTTGGGGAACATGCTCATCTTTCATTCCCCTTCATGCTGATCCCCATTACACACTGAGCCCCCAATGGCCCACCAGCTCAAGCACTCGAAACTGCATCCTTTGTGTGGCTAGTAAGAAAGGCAGATTGGTGAACGCCTTCTGGCATTCGGACTAGACTCCAGCGTGAGGTGGGAGCTGAGCTCATCTTTTCTCCTCGAGGCTGCTCCAGGCCCACCCCTTCCAATAAAGCTGCTAGTCCTGTCTGTAATTAGTGGGAGCATAATTAACACTGAGGAGCCCTTCTTACAGCCAGAGATGGGCAGCCTCGCCTTACAGGCTCCTGCACGCCAGACAGAAACATCCAGGCAGATGCCGGGCTTCCCTTGCCTGGCTGCCACCCTTCCCAAGGCAGCGCCAAATGCCTGAAAAAAGCAGCTTGGGGAAGGAAAGGTTTACTTGTGCTCACGGTGTGAGAGCATACAGTCCCTCATGTCAGGGAAGGCGACAAGCAGGTCAGCTGGTCACTCGTCAGGAGTCAAGATTGCTGTAGAATAAATATTGGACTCTAGAGGGCTTCTCTGCCTCAGCTGGTTCCCAAATAATTGAGACAGGACCTTTTAGATTCATGATCAGTTTTAAAGCACAGTAACTGGGCAGATTCCAACCCTCCGAGCTACTTTGCAATCTCCCAGCTATATATCCCAAGCTGTGGCCCAGTGATCTCTGTAGAAGACAGAGCTGACCACACAGCTTCTTCCTCGGCTTCTGTAACAAGCCTCAGGATGTTGCCATCAGCTGCTGAGACTTCCCCCGCTCTGCCTCACACACGTTCTCTCTCCAGTCAGTTGAGAACAGTGGTGTGTGTGTGCGTGTGTGTGTGTGTGTGTGTGTGTG